TTTAGCTTAGTGGAAAACGACAGCCCTGCTCTTGGGAAGCTGTGAGATGATTTGCTGCTCTCTCTCTCTCTCTCTCCCTCCCTCCCTCCCTCTCCCTCTCCTCTCCCTCTCCCTCTCCCTCCCTACCTACAACTCTTAAAATACTTCCGTGTCACTCTCTCTCTCTCTCTCTCTCTCTCTCTCCCTCCTCCCTCTCCCTCTCCCTCTCCCTCTCCCTACCTACCTACAACTCTTAAATACTTCCATATTCTATCTGTCTATCTATCTATCTATCTATCTATCTATCTATCTATCTATCTATCCCTACCTACCTACAACTCTTTAATACTTCCCCCCCTCTCCCTCTCTCTCTCTCTCCCTCTCTCCCTCTCCCTACCTACCTACAACTCTTAAATACTTCCATATTCTATCTATCTATCTATCTATCTATCTATCTATCTATCTATCTATCTATCTATCTATCCCTCCCTACCTACAACTCTTAAATACTTCCCCCCCTCCCTCTCTCTCTCTCTCTCTCTCTCTCCCTCTCCCTACCTACCTACAACTCTTAAATACTTCCATATTCTGTCTGTCTATCTGTCTGTCTATCTATCTATCTATCTATCTATCTATCTATCTATCTATCTATCCCTACCTACCTACCTACAACTCTTAAATACTTCCCCCCTCCCTCTCTCTCTCTCTCTCTCTCCCTCTCCCTACCTACCTACAACTCTTAAATACTTCCATATTCTATCTATCTATCTATCTATCTATCTATCTATCTATCTATCTATCTATCTCTATCTATCTATCTATCTATCTATCTATCTATCTATCTATCTATCTATCTATCCCTACCTACCTACCTACCTACCTATCTACCTACAACTCTTAAATACTTCCCTCTCTCTCTCTCTCCCTCCCTCTCTCCCTACCTACCTACAACTCTTAAATACTTCCATATTCTATCTATCTATCTGTCTATCTATCTGTCTATCTATCTATCTGTCTGTCTATCTATCTATCTATATCTATCTATCTATCTATCTATCTATCTATCTATCTATCTATCTATCCCTACCTACCTACCTACCTACCTACCTACCTACCTACCTACAACTCTTAAATACTTCCATATTCTATCTATTTATCTATCTATCTATCTATCTATCTATCTATCTATCCCCCCTACCTACCTACCTACCTACCTACCTACAACTCTTAAATACTTCCGTGTCACTCTCTCTCTCTCTCTCTCTCTTTCCCCCCCCCCCCAACTGCTTATTAAGTTGGGTGGCAGCGGGGAGCTTGGAAGGGTTCATGGCTGCCATTTTCTTCACCCTTCTGCCCATCATCATCATCATCATCATCCTCGTCAAAGAGAGCAAAGAAAACAGGCTTAAGATACAGAAGGATCTTGACAGACTTGAACATTGGGCGCTATCTAAGAAAAATGAAATTCAAGGGTGAAAAAAAAAGGAAGGTTCTACATTTAGGCAAAAAAACGCAAATGCACAGGTACAGTATAGGTGGTAGCTCACTCAATAGTAATAACTGTGAGAAGGATCTTGGGAGTCCTAGTGGACAATCACTTGCGTTCTTTGACAAAGTGACAAAATTAGTGGACCAGAAGAATACTGTGGATATAATTGACTTGGGCTTCGGTAAGGCATTTGATAAAGTAGACCATAACCTACTACTAAATAAAGTAGGAAAATGTGGGTTAGACAGCATCACCACTAGATAGATTCGTAACTGGCTGACCAACTGCACTCAACGTGTAGTCCTCAATGGAACTGCATCTATATGGAGGGAAGTATGCAGTGGAGTATCCTAGAGCTCTGTTTTAGGCCCAGGGCTCTTCAACATCTTCATCAATGACTTGGATGAGGGGATAGATGGGGAACTCATCAAATTTGCAGATGACACCAAACTGGCAGGAATAGCCAACACTCCAGCAGATAGGCTCAAGATACAGAAGGATCTTGACAGACTTGAACATTGGGCGCTATCTAAGAAAATGAAATTCAATGGTAGGAAGGTTCTACATTTAGGCAAGAAAAACAAAATGCACAGGTACAGTATAGGTGGTAGCTCACTCAATAGTAGTAACTGAGAGAGGGATCTTGGAGTCCTAGTGGACAACCATTTAAATAGGAGCCAGCCGTGTGTTGCAGCTGCCAAAAAAGCCAACACAGTTCTAGGCTGCATAAACAGAGGGATAGAATCAAGATCAGGTGAAGTGTTAATACCACTTTATAAGGCCTTGGTAAGGCCACACTTGGAATTCTGCATTCAGTTTTGGTCGCCACAATGGAAAAAAAGATGTGGAGACTCTAGAAAAAGTGCAGAGAAGAGCCACAAAGAGGATTAGGGGACTGAAGGCTAAAACATATGAAGGAACTGGGTATGTCCAGTTTAATGAAAAGAAGGACGAGGGGAGACATGATAGCAGTCTTCCAAAATCTCAGGGGCTGCCCCAAAGAAGAGGGAGTCAAGCTATTCTCCAGAACACCTGAAGGCAGGACAAGAAGCAATGGGTGGAAACTAATCAAGGAGAGAAGCAACCTGGAACTAAGGAGAAATTTCCTGACAGTGAGAACAATTAATCCGTGGAACAACCTGCCTCCAGAAATTGTGAATGCTCCATCACTGGAGGTTTTTAAGAAGAGGTTCGATAACCATTTGTCTGAAGTGGTGTAGGGTTTCCTGCCTAAGCAGGGGGTTGGACTAGAAGACCTCCAAGGTCCCTTCCAACTCTGTTATTCTATTCTATCTTGGCACTTCAGTTGAGGTTCTGCTGGGCCCTTCTGAAAGCAGGGAAACAAGTGGCAGGAGTAAACATTCACACCTACCCGAGTTCACACTTTGGGGGAAGGAAGCCGAGGCCCACCCCACTCTTTCTAGAGTCCAGAGAAGATGGCTTGAGTCCAGATGTTTCTTTTCTCGTCTGCTTTGCCAGCCCCCATCTCACCTCTCCTTCTGACCCTTCAGGGGTCCCCACCCATTGAAGGAATTGGGTATAGTTTTACGAAAGGAAGGACTAGGGGTGACACAATAGGGGTGTTCCAATATTTGAGGGTTTGCCACTAGGAAAAGGGATCAATCTATTCTCCAAAGCACTTGGAGGCAGGAGAAGAAGCAACCAGTGGAAACCAATAAAGGAGAGAAGCAACCTAGAACTAAGGAGAATTTCCTGACAGAACAATTAACCAGTGGAAGTTATGGGTGCTCCAACATTGGAGGCTTTTAAGAAGAGACTGGACAACCACTTGTCTGAAATGGTATAAAATCTTCTGCTTGAGCAGGGGGTTGGACTAGAAGACCTCCAAGGTCCCTTCCAAGCCTATGATTGTATGTTCTAAGTAGTGTTTCTCCCCTTGTGGGTACTCCCATCACTGGAGATTTTCAAGAAGAGATGGGAAAATCATTTATCTGAAATGGCATAGATTTTCCTGCCTGACCAGTGGGGTGGATTAGAAGACCTCCAGGATCCCTTCCATCTCTGTTATTCTCTGAGTTGGGATATAGGATCGGTAGGTAGAGAGAGAGAGAGAGAGAGAGAGATGGATGTATTTAAGAGAGGTAGGTACCCTGTTCCCTGAAAATAAGACCTCCCCGTATAATAAGCCCATATAATCGGGCTTTTGAGTGCATGTGCTAAAATAAGCCCCCCCCCGCCAAAAAATAAGCCCTCCCCAAAAATAAGCCCTCCCTGAAAATATTTAAACGCATGTGCAGCCGGTCCCCGCCATTTCCTCTGGTTAGGGTTAGGGAGACAGAGCTGGAAATCAGGTAAGACGGCAAGAGGAACTCCGTCTTGCTCCAGGCGCCCCAAAATAATAAGACCTCCTCGAAAATAAGGCCAAGTGCTTATTTCGGGCTCAAAAAAATAAAATACAGGGTCTTATTTTCGGGAAAACACGGTAGGTAGGTAGATATGGATGATAGTGATAGATAGATATGGATGATAGAGATGGATGGATGGATAGATAGATGATAGATATGGATGATAAATAGATGGATAGATATGTATTTAAGAGTTGTAGGTAGGTAGGTAGATGTGGATGATAAATAGAGATAGATGGATAGATATGTAATTAAGAGGTAGGTAGGTAGGTAGGTAGATAGATAGATAGATAGATAGATAGATAGATAGATAGATAGATAGATAGATATGGATGATAGAGATAGATATGAATAATAGAAATAGATGGATAGATATGTATTTAAGAGTTGTAGGTGGTAGGTACGTAGATATGGATGATAGATAGATATGGATGATAGAGATAGATAGATAGATAGATAGATAGATAGATAGATAGATAGATAGATATGGATGATAGAGATAGATGGATATGTATTTAAGAGTTGTAGGTAGGCAGGTAGGTAGATATGGATGATAGATAGATATGGATGATAGAGATAGATAGATGATAGATATGGATGATAAATAGAGATAGATGGATAGATATGTATTTAAGAGTTGTAGGTAGGTAGATGGATAGATATGGATGATAGATATGGATGATAGAGATAGACAGATGGATAGATATGTATTTAAGAGTTGTAGGTGGTAGGTAGGTAGATATGGATGATAGATAAATATGGATGATAGAGATAGATAGATAGATAAATAGATAAATAGATAAATAGATGATAGATATGGATGATAAATAGAGATAGATGGATAGATATGTATTTAAGAGTTGTAGGTAGGTAGGTAGATAGATATGGATGTATTTAAGAGTTGTAGATAGGTAGATAGAACAGGTGGGTGGATGGATGGATGGATGGACAGATAGATACGGAAAGAGAGAGAGATAGATAAACCAAGCTGCTTCCAGTATCTTAACTTCTACATGGAGGGGATAGAGAGAGATTATACCCAAGAACCCCTTCGAAAGTGCCCTGCTTTGACTCCCACCAGGTCCAGTTGTGTCACGAGGCATATCCTTTTCTCCCCCCCCCTCCCCACCGTTCACCTGGTCATCCTCCCCGCCTTCCTCCCGCAGACGACCGGGTGGACCAGCGCACCTGCCTGATCTGCGGGGACCGAGCCACGGGCCTCCACTACGGCATCATCTCCTGCGAGGGCTGCAAAGGCTTCTTCAAGCGCAGCATCTGCAACCGGCGAGTCTACCGATGCAGCCGTGACAAGAACTGCGTCATGTCCCGCAAGCAGCGCAACCGCTGCCAGTACTGCCGACTCCTCAAGTGCCTCCAGATGGGGATGAACCGGAAAGGTGCCGATCGGGCGGGCGGGAAGCGGAGGGGCCGGGTTGGGTTGGGTTGGGTTTCAAAGTTTTTTACTACTGGTTCTGTGGGCGTGGCAGGGGAAGGATACTGCAAAATCTCCATTCCCTCCCCAGTCCAGGGGAAGGATACTGCAAAATCCCCATTTCCTCCCGATCAGCCGGGACTCGGGAGGCAGAGAATAGATGGGGGTGGGGCCAGTCAGAATTTTTGAGCAGGGGGCTGGACTAGAAGACCTCCAAGGTCCCTTCCATCTTGATTCCATTCCATTCTATTCCATTATAATTGTAATTCTATTCTATTCTATTCCAGTCAACTGTTCTGTTCTGTTCTGTTCTATTCTATTCTATTCTATTCTATTCTATTCTATTCTATTCTATTCCATTCCATTCCATTCCATTCCATTCCATTCCTTATTCTATTCTATTCTATTTTCCATTCCATTATTCTATTCTATTCCATTCCATTTCTATTTCTATTTCTATTCCATTCTATTTCTACTTCATAGTAGAAGGAAAAAGAGACAGAAAGAGAGGAGAGAGAGACAGAAAGAGAGGAAAGAGACAGAGAGAAAAAGAAAAGAGAGAAACAGAGAAGAGACAGAAAGGAAAGAGAGACAGAAAGTGAGAGAGGAAAGAGACTGAAAGAGAGAAGAGAGACAGAGAGGAAAGAGGGAAGTGAGAGAGAAAAAGAGGAAAGAGAAAGAGAGAAAAGAGACAAAGAGGAGAGACAAAAAGAGACGGAAAGAGAGAGAGAAAGAAAGAGGAAAGAGACAGAGAGGAAAGAGGCGGAAAGAAAGAAAGAAAGAGATGAGAGACCGAAAGAGAGATGAATCATGGCTGACCCCTATCTAAGCAACCTTCCCATGATCCTAGGATGGTGGAAGCTACTTTAGAGAAGTTTCATGGGCGGGGTCTTCAGGCCACAGCCGCTCATTTTAAGAAACGGGGCTGTTTTCTTCCCTGCATCTGGTTGGCACTTGGAGGCCGGCTTCCCATCTGCTTCGGAGCACCCCAAGAGAGCGGAAAACAGGGGGGCAACAGCTGGAGTGGTGTGGTTTCCCCAGGGGGCAGCAGCTGGAGTGGTGTGTGGCCACCAGAGGGCGCCTGAAGGTCTTCGACCAGCGGTGGCCAGCGATGATGCAACACTCAACCGGGAATCCCCAGAAAGCAAGTGCGGACCTACTTAAACAAACAAACAAAAGTCCGTCTGCTACACACACACACACACACACACACACACACCAACATCCCCAAGGTGGAGCCCCTCTTTTCCCTGGCCAGCGGGGCGGTTGAGAACCCTGTTGTCTAGGGAGAAGAGAAAGTTGTACGGATCCATCTCTCTGCTGATCAGGTGGAACCAGGGGTTGGTGGCCTTCTCATCCACAGCTGGCACGATTTACGGGGCTCAGTTAAGGTTGTAAGTCGAGGATTACCTAAAATGCAGAGGTTGCCTTCCGACTGAAGAATCCTGATGGGGGGCACAAAACGTGTCATGTAGCGCCTCCTCCTGGTCAGGAGATCACATAGCAATAGCACTTAGACTTCTATACTGCTCCACAGTGCTTTACAGTCCCTCTCTAAGCGGTTTACAGAGTCAGCCTCTTGCCTCCAACAATCTGGGTCCTCATTTTATCAACCTCAAAAGAACGGAAGGCCGAGTTAAACTTGAGCCGGTCAGGATCGAACTGCTGACAGTTGGCAGAGTTAGCCTCCCATACTGCATTCTAACCATTGCGCCACCACAGCTGATAGATAGATAGATAGATAGATAGATAGATAGATAGATAGATAGATGGATGGATGGATGGATGGATGGATGGATGGATGGATGGATGGATGGATATAGGATAGGATAGGATAGGATAGGATAGGATAGGATAGGATAGATTGATAGATAATAGATAAATAATAGATAGATAATAGATGGATGGATAGGATAAGATAGAGAGAAAGAAAGATAGATAGATAGATAGATAGATAGATAGATAGATAGATAAAGAGATAGATAGATGATAGATGGATGGATGGATAGGATGGAATGGATAGGATAGGATAGGATAGATTGATAGATGATAGATAATAGATAATAGATGGATGGATAGGATAAGATAGAGAGAGAGAAAGATAGATGTAGAGATAGATGATAGATGGATGGATGGATGGATAGGATGGAATGGAATGGATAGGATAGGATAGGATAGATTGATAGATGATAGATAATAGATAATAGATGGATGGATAGGATAAGATAGAGAGAAAGATAAATAGATATAGAGATAGATAGATGATGGATGGATGGATAGGATGGAATGGATAGGATAGGATAGGATAGATGATAGATAATAGATAGATAATGGATGGATAGGATAAGAGAGAGAGAGAGAAAGATAGATAGATGATAGATAGATAGATAGATAGATAGATAGATAGATAGAGGGGGGGAGGGGCAGGCAGGCATAGAGATAGACAGCCATAGCACTTAGACTTACATACTGCTTCACAGTGCTTTATACCCCTCCTTAAGATGTTTACAGAGCCAGCCTATTGCCCCCGACAATCCGGTCCTCATTTGACCGACCTCAGAAGGACGAGTCAACCTTGAGCCGGCGGGAATCGAACTGCTGGCAGTCGGCAGAGTTAGCCTGCCATCCTGCATTCTCACCACTGCGCCACCGCGGCTCTATGACCTCTACAGTCAAGGGGGGAGGCGGTCCTGAGGCCTCATGGGCCACGCCAATGTAGAAGTCACCAAAGGGCTCTCTAATATAAGAGCATGGAGGGAAAAATGCTTCGCTTCTACAGAGGGTTAGCTGGGCACCTTGCTAGAGTCCTGACCAGCTTCCTTTTTCCTTCCCTGCCAGCCATCCGTGAAGACGGCATGCCCGGGGGCAGGAACAAGAGCATTGGACCTGTCCAGGTGAGCTGCTACCTTGCAAGGTGTGGCTTTCCTGTTGCCACCAAATTCCCACCTGCTCCCCCCCCCCATCCCCAGAGGGTGGATTTTGCGGCTCTTCCGCTGGCCGAATAGATGGGCTGAGCCACAAACCCAAACCGTCCAATCCAAGCGATCCATTTAACCCTCCGCTCCCCGGGTTTTCTTTCTCCGGGGGCGGGTGTGTGCAGATCTCCGAGGAAGAGATCGAGCGGATCATGTCCGGCCAGGAGTTCGAAGGGGAGCCCAACATCTCCTGGTGTAATAACGGAGACAGCGACAACAGCTCCCCGGGGAACGGGGTGTCGGAAAGCAACCAGCCTTCCCCGGTCTCGACTCCGTCTTCGAGGTGGGACTCCGCGGAGGGCAGCCCAGGCTTTGTGGGGCAGGGAGACCGGGGGGGGGGGGGGGGGGGGGGGGGGGAGGCGTTCAGATCGAGGGTCTCTCTTCCCCCTCCCTTCTGTCTCAGCCCTGCCTTGCCTCTTCCAGTAGGTCCGTGGAGATGAACGGATTTACAGTTCTCAGGGATCAATACATGGGCACGCCGGTGTCCACCCCCTACCAGTACCTGCCGCACCTTCTCAGCTGCCCCACTCACACGGCCCTGCTGCCCCCCCAGCCCCGTAGCCTCGACGCCCAGGCCCACGGGCTCCTCATCAGCCAGCTGGTGTCTGCAGAAGACCAGGAGCCCTTGGGCACCCCGATGCTGATTGAAGACGGGTGAGTGGCAGCTCTCTCTCCTTCCTCTTCCTCCTCTCGGCGCTGACGTCAGTCACTTAAATATAATTAAATCTATTGAGTGAGTATTGCGGGCCTGACTGGCGAAAGAAAACTCGGGACCATATTAGTTGGAAGTGTCAGCCTCAGCTGGGGAAGAGGACTTCATCCTGCAATGGGTAAAGGTAAAGGTTCTCCTCGCACATACGTGCTAGTCGTTCCTGACTCTAGGGGGCGGTGCTCATCTCCGTTTCGAAGCCGAAGAGCCAGCGCTGTCCGAAGACGTTTCCGTGGTCTTGTGGCCAGCATGACTCAACGCCAAAGGCGCACGGAACCCTGTTCCCTTCCACCAAAGGTGGTCCCTATTTTTCTACTTGCATTTTTTTTACGAGCTTTTGAACTGCTAGGTTGAGACAAGGTTGAGACACTGCTAGGTTGAACTGAGAAGCTGAGACAAGTAACAGGAGCTCACCCCGTTACAAGGTGCTAGAGATTCGAACCGCCAAACTGCCAAACTTTCGATCGACAAGCTCAGCATCTTAGCCACTGAGATACCACGTCCCTATAAAATAAATAAGTAAAATAGTAAAAAAAAATAAAGAGGGCTACTAGGCCCTCACTTCCCCCGCGCCCCGTTTCGGGCCTAGTAGGCCTCCCTGCAGCCTCCAGGGAGCAAAAACGGGCCTTGGGTGGGCACCTCCCCATGCCCCGCTTCAGGCCTAGCAAGCCTCCCTGGGAGCAAAAACGGGCTGTGGGGGGGCACCCCCCCACGCCCCGTTTCGGGCCTAGCAGGTCTCCCTGCAGCCTCCTGGGCGCAAAAATGGGCTGTGGAGGGGGGCAGCCCACCCCACCGCCCCATGCCCCGTTTCGGGCCTCATAAGCCTTCCTCCAGCCTCCTTGGAGCAAAAACAGGCTGTGGAGGGGGCCAGCCCGTCCCATCCCCCCATGCCCCGTTTCGGGCCTAGTAAGCCTTCCTCCAGCCTCCTGGAAGCAAAAACGGGCCGTGGGAGACACACACACCCCACTCCCCGTTTCGGGCCTAGTAGGCCTCCCTGCAGTCTCCTGGGAGCAAAAATGGGCTGCCGGGGCGCGCTACACCTGCACATGCGCGGCAGAGACTCTAAAGTCAGCTGGCGGGCAGGAGGCGGGCATGTACGCGCAGTGGAGCTGAGCTGGGGCAACGGCTCATAGGTTCGCCATCACGGGTCTAATTCGGTAAAACTCCCAAAATCGAAGTTTCGTTCTTTTCCACTTCAAGCACAAAGTTCAGAAGCGGTCTCCGCGTGGGAACAAAAGCACTTCTATTCTTTTTTTTTTTCTTCAATCCAAATAGCCAATTTTGCCATTTCGGCCAAACTCCCATCCGCTTCTGCAACTGTTCGTCCATGGTAGGAATCAAAGCGCCCTTGCATTTTTGCGCATTCGATACAGTCTTATAGCTGCGGTCAACATAGATAATAACAAAGCTCCAATTTTTTTTTTCCTCTAGTTTCTTTTTTCCATGTTGAAAGGAAAAATTCTGTCTTCATTTTTATCTCCCATTTTCAAAGATTTTTTTTTTTTTGGTATTAAAATGTGAATCGTACTCCAGTTTTTATTTTATTTTTTTGCTTTATCACACGTCCACCATAGAAGATAAATAGTCCCCCTCTTTATTTTTACACTTTATTTTTACTCTTTCCTGTTCCCGGCTCCCGCAGGTACAGAGTGACCCAGGCCGAGCTGTTTGCCCTGCTGTGCCGTCTGGCGGACGAGCTTCTCTTCCGCCAGATCTCCTGGATCAAGAAACTGCCCTTTTTCTGCGAGCTGTCCATCAAGGACTACACCTGCCTCCTGAGCTCCACCTGGCAGGAGCTGATCCTCCTTTCCTCCCTCACCATCTACAGCAAGCAGATCTTCGGGGACCTGGCGGACGTGACCGCCAAGTATTCGCCCTCCGACGATGAGCTTCACAGGTAAAAAAAAGGCTTTGGAGGGGTCCTTGGTGCTCTCTGAGCTGGGTTATTTTCCTCCAGACGTTTCATGACCCAACTAGGTAACATCATCAGTGTTGGTGAGTGGTTTTTTTTTTTTTTTTTTGGACATCTGGATTCTTCATTCCTTTCGGGGGAATTTCGGCCAAACGGTCTCGATTGCCAAAAGGGGAAGCCAGGATGGGCCCTTTCTTAACAGGGCATCCTAGAAACATCCCCAAATCTGTTTGAAAAGAGGGGGTGCCCTCCCTTGTCCTGCAGTGGTGGGTTTCAAAATTTTTTACCAGCGGTTCTGTGGGTGTGGCTTAGTGGGCGTGGCAGGGGAAGGATACTGTAAAATCTCCATTCCCTTCCCACTCCATGTCCTCTATTGCTGAGCACATTGTAAGCCGACCTGAGTCTTCGTAGAAGGGCAGCATATAAATCAATTTTTTTTAAAAAAAAATTTCCATTCCCTCCCCACTCCAGGGAAAGGATACTGTAAAATCTCCATTCCCCCCCCCACTCCAGCGGAAGGATACTGTAAAATCTCCATTCCCCCCCCCCCACTCCAGGGGAAGGATACTATAAAATCTCCATTCCCTCCCTACTCCAGCGGAAGGATACTATAAAATCTCCATTCCCTCCCCACTCCAGCGGAAGGATATTATAAAATCTCCATTCCCACCCGACTCCAAGGGAAGGATACTATAAAATCTCCATTCCCTCCCCACTCCAGGGGAAGGATACTATAAAATCTCCATTCCCACCCGACTCCTGGGAAAGGATACTGTAAAATCTCCATTTCCCCCCCCCACTCCAGCGGAAGGATAATGTAAAACCTCCATTCCCTCCCCACTCCAGGGGGAAGGATACTGCAAAATCCCCATTCCCTCCCGATCAGCTGGGACTCGGGAGGCAGAGAATAGACGGGAGCGGGGCCAGTCAGAAGTTTTACTCTCAGTTCTCTGAACTACTCAAAATCTCCGCTACCGGTTCTCCAGAACTGGCCAGAACCTGCTGAAGCCCACCTCTGTTGTCCTGGCAGAAGACATTTGGGCCCTTGGATCCCAAATACCCCACAGACCCAGGTTGAGCAGGAGCCCAGGTTGTCCTCGATTTACAACCATTCGCTTAGTGACAGTTTTAAGTTTTACAGCAGCACCGGAAAAAAAAAATTGTCACACTGAACAACTTTCACAGAATCCCCGTGGTGAGGTGATTTACATGCGGATCCTTGACAACTGACCCATATTTATGACGGTCACAGCATCCCGGAGGGGGGGGGGTGTCACGCGATCCCCTTTTCGCCACCTTCCGATGAGCAAACTCGATGGGGAAACCAGTTTTGCTTAACAGCCTTGTTAGCTTCCCCCCGTTGACTTTTTGCACGTCAGAAGCTCGCAGAAGGGGATTGTATGACACACGCACGCACGCACACGCACCCCAGGACGCTGCAACCCGTCATAAATACGAATCGGCTGCTGAGCATATGAATATGGATCACGAAAACGGTTGGGAGAGTGGAAAAAAAAAAACAGCCATAAGTCCCTTTTTTTTCAGCGCCGTCGTAACTGAACGGTCACTATATGGAACTGTTGTAAGCCGAGGACCTGTATGTGGTGTTTGGAGAGCCATCCAGGGGTCCCCACTGTTCCCCCAATTCATCCTGGAGTTTCTTCTGTCCCCCCAATTCATCCAGGAAACCTCTCTGCCCCCCCAATCGATCCAGGGGTCCTTTCCATCACCCCAAATCATCTGGGGGTCCCCTCCATCCCCCAAATCATCTGGGGGTCCCCCTCCATCCCCCCAATTCATCCAGGGGTCTCCTCTGCTCCCCCCAATCGATCCAGGGGTCCCCTCCATCCCCCCAAATCAACTGGGGGTCCCCTCCATCCCCCCAACTCATCCAGGGGTCTCCTCTGCCCCGTCCCTCCTAACAAATCATCATCAGCCCTCCTTCCCAGCTCCCTTACAAGTGTTCGGCCACCTCTGGAGACTTCCTATCATGCAGATGTGAGCATTTCCTTGAACCTCCTCCCCCCCCCCCCCCCTCCCCCGCCCCCCCCCCCCCAACCCACCTTTGAAGAGGTTTTCCCTGCCCCCCCCCCTTAGGGCAAAACCCCGATAAAGGAAAGACTTGTCCCCTTTCCAGATGTTGAGCCTGCTCTTTCACCACCAGCCCCCTGTGTTCCTCCTGGCCACGGGGACTGAGGGGAGCCCCCCCCCATGTCCTGCACATCTGTCTCGCCTCTCCCACTTTCGTTGTTCTTCCTTTGGAAACCTTGACCCGCCCTAGGCTTCGGACTTTGCCTTGAAACTCCTACTCTCCCGTTAAATCAAGCCTTGTCCAACAGCACCCCCCTTCCCCCCCCGCCCAGCTGCACGTTTGCAACGGGGAGTAAAATTTATAGCATCTGGTTTTCTCATCTCCTCCGTTCTCTTATCAGCAGCTGAAAAGGGCCGCACCAGCTGCCAGATTGGGTCTCTGGGGAGAGGCGGGGAGGGCTCTCCGGTGATTCTCTAAGGGGGGGGGGGCAGACATCTCCAGAAAGAGATGCAGAAGACCTGACCCAGGTCCTAGGATGCTTTCCAGCCAACCCTAGAATCAGAATAACAGAGTTGGAAGGGACCTTGGAGGTCTTCTAGTCCAACCCCCTGCTCAGGGAGGAAACCCTACACCACTTCAGACAAAGGGTTGTCCAACCTCTTCTTAAAAACCTCCAGTGTTGGAGCATTCACAACTTCTGGTGGCAAGCAGTTCCACTGGTTAATTCTTCTCACTGTCAGGAAGTTTCTCCTTAATTCCAGGTTGCTTCTCTCCTTGACGAGTTTCCATCCGTTGCTTCTTGTCCTGCCTTCTGGTGCTTTGGAGAATAAGTTGACCCCCCTCTTCTTTTGGGGCAGCCCCTCAAATACTGGAAGATCGCTATCATATCACCCCCACCCCAGGGGTGAAATGTAAAATTCGTTACTACCGGTTCTGTGGGCGTGGCTTGGTGGGGGTGGGGTTAATGTGACTGGGTGGGCGTGGCCAATTTTTTTTTTAACTTTTCAAAGCATTTTTTCTAATGCTTTGAAAAGCCTCTGCCGATCAGGCAACTCAGCTGGGATCGTCAGAGACTTTTCAAAGCATTTTTTTAAATCACCTCTTCGGCCAAGAGGTTGCAGAAAAAAATGCTTTGAAAAGCCTCTGACGATCCCAGCTGAGCCACGCGATCATCAGAGGCTTTTTTTTTTTTTGTTACTTTTAAAAGCATTTTTTCATCGGAAGAGGTTGTAGAAAAAATGCTTTTAAAAGGAAAAAAAAAGCCTCTGATGATCCTGCGGCTCAGCGGGGCGGGGGGGGGCAGGGATTTTTGTTACCGGTTCTCCGAACCACCCGCCGCCATCGCTACTGGATCGGGCAATCCAGTCCGAACTGAGAGCATTTCACCACTGCTCCTACCCCACCCTAGTCCTTCTTTTCACTGGACTAGGCATAGCGTCTTATGGAGATGCTCCATCATCCAGGCTCAAGCTCAACCCTTCCGAGACTGAGTGGCTGTGGCTCCCGGCATCCCGATATAGTCAGTTGACTCCATCACTGACTATTGGGGGCGAGTCTTTGGCCCCCACTGAAAGGGCTCGCAATCTGGGAGTCCTCCTGGATAGGCAGCTGTCTTTGGAGGAACATCTGACGGCTGTTACCAGGGGGACCTTTTGTCAGGTTCGCCTGATTCGCCAGTTGCGGCCCTTTCTCAATCGGGATTCCTTGTGCACAGTCACTCACGCCCTCGTCACCTCTCGCCTTGACTACTGCAATGCTCTCTACATGGGGCTCCCCTTGAAGAGCACCCGGAGGCTCCAGCTGGTCCAGAATGCAGCAGCGCGGGTAGTGATGGGAGCAACATGGCGCTCCCATGTAACACTGCTCCTGCGCGAGCTGCACTGGCTCCCGGTGGTCTTCCGGGTGCGCTTCAAGGTGCTGGTTATCACCTTTAAAGCGCTCCATGGCATAGGGCCTAGCTATCTGCGAGGCCGCCTGCTGCTACCGACGACCTCCCATCGACCCGTGCACTCACACAGAGAGGGCCTCCTCAGGGTGCCATCAGCCAAACAATGTAGGCTGGTGACCCCCAGGGGGAGGGCCTTCTCTGTGGGGGCTCCTACCCTCTGGAATCAGCTGCCCCCAGAGATAAGGAGAATCCATGACCTCAATGCCTTCCGTCGTTCCCTTAAAACCCATCTTTTCCAGCAAGCCGGGTTGGCTTAAGAAGAAATTTTTAAATTCTTTTAATCAGTCTGTGATTTCTTAACTTTTGGGCCAAAATTTATATATATTTTTAAATGTTTTTTTAATATTTGTATTCTATGTTTTTTATCTTGGCTGTACACCGCCCTGAGTCCTCAGGGAGAAGGGCGGTATATAAATTGGAAATTAAATTAAATTAAATTAAATTATTAAATTAAATTAAATTAAATTAAATTAATTAAATCCAGGTCTTGGTTGTCCCAAAGGACAGGCTGGCCTGTCTCTTGGCTTGTTTTCTTTGAAAAGGTCTCACTTCTCATCCACGAAGGAAGTGACGAAGAAGCTTCTTGGGTGAAAAACTAAAACAAAACACACACAAACCAAGAAAGTCTGGCTTCCTTTTAGAAAAAGCGTCTTTGAGGCATTCTGCTTCCGTCACCCAAGAGGTGCCAGAGACAATAAGTGGGGTGGCCTCCAGATAAGAATAGAATAGAATAGAATAGAATAGAATAGAATAGAATAGAATAGAATAGAATAGAATAGAATAGAATAGAATAGAATAAAGAGATAGAATAGAACAGAACAGAACAGAACAGAACAGAATAAGGGATAGAATAAGGGATAGAATAAGAGATAGAATAGAATAGAATAGAATAGAATAGAATAGAATAGAATAAGAGATAGAATAGAATAGAATAGAATAGAATAAGAGCTAGAATAGAATAGAATAGAATAGAATAGAATAAGGGATAGAATAAGAGCTAGAATAGAATAGAATAGAATAGAATAGAATAAGGGATAGAATAAGGGATAGAATAAGAGATGGAATGGAATGGAATGGAATGGAATGGAATAGAATAAGGGATAGAATAAGAGATAGATTAGAATAGAATAGAATGGATAGAATAAGAGAATAGAATAGAATAGAATAGAATAGAATAGAATAGAATAAAGGATAGAATAAGAGATAGATTAGAATAGAATAGAATTAGAGGATAGAATAAGATAGAATAGAATAGAATAGAATAGAATAGAATGGATAGAATAAGAGATAGAATAGAATAGAATAGAATAGAATAGAATAGAATAAGGGATAGAATAAGGAATGGAATAGAATAAGGGATAGAATAAGAGATAGATTAGAATAGAATAGAATGGATAGAATAAGAGAATAGAATAGAATAGAATAGAATAGAATAGAATAGAATAAAGGATAGAATAAGAGATAGATTAGAATAGAATAGAATTAGAGGATAGAATAAGATAGAATAGAATAGAATAGAATAGAATAGAATGGATAGAATAAGAGATAGAATAGAATAGAATAGAATAGAATAGAATAGAATAAGGGATAGAATAAGGGATAGAATAGAATAAGGAATAGAATAAGAGAGAATAGAATAGAATAGAATAGAATAGAATAGAATAGAATAGAATAGAATAAGGATAGAATAAGAGATAGAATGGAGTGGAATGGAATGGAATGGAATAGAATAAGGGATAGAATAAGAGATAGATTAGAATAGAATAGAATTAGAGGATAGAATAAGATAGAATAGAATAGAATAGAATAGAATAGAATAGAATAGAATAGAGGATAGAATAAGGGATAGAATAGAATAGAATAGAATGGATAGAATAAGAGAATAGAATAGAATAGAATAGAATAAGGGATAGAATAGAATAGAATGCAGAATGGAATGAAATAGAATAGGAATAGAATAGAATAGAATAGAATAGAATAGAATAGAATAGAATAGAATAGAATAGAATAGAATAGGACATGCAATGAAAGAGAAGAGAAAAGAAGAGAAGAGAATTCAATTTTTTATTGGCCAAGTGTGTTTGGACACACAAGGAATTTGGTGCATACGCTCTCAGTGTACATAAAGAAAAAATAAAATACATTCATCAAGAATCATAAGATACAACACTTAGTGATAGTCATAGATTACTAAATAAGCAATCGTATCATACTAGGAAACAAATAAAACAATATAAATCATAAAGATTCAAACAACATGGTTATAGTAATAAGTGGGAGGAGATAGGTCCTAGGAAGGATGAGATGAAGAATAGTAACACAGTCTTAGTAAATAGTTCAACAGTGTTGAGGGAATTATTTGTTTAGCAGAGTGATGGCATTAGGGAGAAAAACTGTCCTTGTGTCTAGTTGTTCTGGTGTGCAGTGCTCTATAGCATCGTTTTGAGGGTAGGAGTTGAAACAATTTATGTCCAGGATGCGAGGAGTCTGTAAATATTTTCCCAGCCCTCTTTTTGACTCGTGCAGTATCCAGGTCCTCCATGGAAGGCAGGTTGGTAGCCATTCTTTTTTTCTGCAGTTCTAATTCTCCTCTGAAGTCCGTGTCTGTCTTGTTGGGTTGCAGAACCAAACCAGACAGTGGTTCTGCAACCCAACCTTGACAGATTCAAGGTGCTGGTTACCACCTTTAAAGCGCTCCATGGCACAGGACCCGGGTATCTTCGAGACCGACTTCTGCCACCAGTAGCCTCCCACCGGCCAGTTCGCTCCCACAGAGAGGGTCTCCTCAGGGTGCCATCGGCCAAGTTATGTCGGCTGGCGACACCCAGGGGGAGGGCCTTCTCTGTGGGAGCCCCAGCCCTGTGGAATGAACTGCCCCCGGAAATACGTAAGATCTCTGACCTCCGGGTGTTTCGCTGCGCATTGAAGACCCTGTTGTTCCGCCAGGCCGGGCTATCAACATAATAATTTTAAATTGGGGTATTTTAAATTTTTGGGGTTTTAAACTGGCCAAATCTATTTAATTATTTTAATTTTTAATCATTGTTGTGTCTTGTGTTTTTAAATTGGCTGTACACCGCCCTGAGTCCTTCGGGAGAAGGGCGGTATAGAAATAAAATTATTATTATTATTATTATTATTATTATTATTATTATTATTATTATTATTTATTATTATTATTATTTATTGGTTAATCTTTAGTGAGACTCACAGCCTTTGAGGCTGGTTAATAGCTCAGCAGCTCGAGTCCTAACCAAGGACCTAGGAACTGTTAAGGTATCGTCGGAGGATGTAAGCTGTTCCGAGTAAGGTGGTTTTTTGTAGAGTCAAAATGTTCAAGTCCGCAAATTTAGAATTTCTAAATAGCGGGGTAGCCCTTTGGGTATTGCTCCGAGGGCTCCAATTACAATCGGGACAACACACAATTTCTTTTTCCACAGTCGCTCAACTTCAATTTGTAAGTCCCGGTACTACTACTACTACTACTACTACTACTACTACTACTTATTATTATTATTATTATTATTATTATTATTATTATTATTATTATTATTATTATTATTTATAGGTTTCCGGTAAAAGTCCTAATAGGAATATTTCTGGTTTCAACTCAATACGTTGTTGTATCATCTCTTCCAACCATGTCTTAATTTTCCCCCAGTACTTCTTTGCTTTTTCACATGTTAGTAAGATCCAGGTAGTTGGTGACACTTCCAACATTTAGCTGATTTATCTTTAAACATCTTTGCCAGCCTCGCCAGTTGTAAATGCCACCTGTAAAACATCTTATACAAATTCTCTTTATATGCAGCTGACATCGTTAATTTATAATTCCTGTCCCACAATTTCTGCCATTTATCCAATTCTGTCGTATAAACCAAAGTTTTTCGCCCATGCTATCATTGTCTCTTTTACTTGTTCCTCCTCCAGTTTCATACCCAATATGTTTGAGTTCTGTTTGAGCAGGTCAGCCCCATCCTTGCCTCAGGGATGTTTTTTTGCAGAATGGATACTCAACTGAATTCCTTCAGTGTAAAAGAAGCAAGGAGAGGATCATATGAGGTTAGACTTAACCCAGACAAGACCGAGTGGCTGTGGGTATTGCCTCCTAAAGACTATGTCAATTGTCCATCCCTGGTTCTGGAGGGGGGGGGAAGAAATTTTCCCCCTCAGAACGGGCTCGCAATTTGGGTGTCCTCCTAGACTCACAGCTAAGATTAGAGCAACATCTAGCAGCTGTGGCTAGGGGGACCTTAGCACAGGTTCACCTGGTGCACCAATTGCGACCCTACTTGGATCGGGAGGCTCTCCTCATAGTCACTCATGCCCTCGTCACCTCACGGTTATATTATTGCAACACGCTCTACATGGGGCTACCCTTGAAGAGTGTTCGGAGACTACAGTTGGTACAGAATGCAGCCGCGCGAGCTATCGTGGGTGCACCTAGATACACCCACATTACACCAATTCTCCGCGAGCTGCACTGGCTCCCTATTGGTCTCACAATTCAAGGTGTTGGTTATTACCTTTAAAGCCCTACATGGCTCAGGGCCAGGTTATCTTTGAGACCGCCTTCTACCGCATAACTCCCAGCGACCGGTAAGATCCCAGAGAGTTGGTCTCCTCCGGGTCCCGTCAGCTAAACAATGCCGGCTGGTGGGCCCGCGGAGGAGGGCCTTCTCTGTGGCTGCCCCAGCTCTCTGGAACCAGTTACCTCCTGAGGTCCGGACCATCCCCACCCTATTGGCCTTCCGGAAAGCGGTGAAGACCTGGATCTTCCGGCAGGCCTGGGCCGTTGATCTCGCTCTTGCGATCTGGCGAGGTCCGGCCATGGATGGTGTGCATGGGTTTTTAATGTTTTTAAAATGCTTTTATAATGTTTTTTTTTTAAAAAAATATGTCACTGTTTGTATTAGAAAGTACTTTTAGTGGGAGTATACGCACCCAACCAACAACAAGACAGATTCTACAAGTTGCTACATACAGAATTGATAAACTGGGACTATAAATCTTGTATAACGTTGGGTGACTGGAATGGAGTATTGGATGCTAGAATGGACAAGAAGAGACTTTTGCAAAATACTCAAATGCGAGCAAGATTGCCTAAATCCTTTTTTGACATGATGGAGGGTATGGAACTGAGAGACATTTGGCGTGAACGGAACTTTAAAGAATGTATTATTTCTGTTGTAAGCCGCCCAGAGTCCCTTGGGAGTTGGGCGGCATAGAAATATGATTAATTATATTAAATTAAATTAAGGTCATTGAAAATGTCCTCCAACACAATGGAAGGCACTTGTTGTGTCAGGAGTATATAACCAGTGGGTCCCGGCGTATGCCGTCTTATTTAGTCACGTTTTCTAAGCTGCATGCTATATATCTCTGTATATAAGACACGGCAAATGGCTACTACCTCCAGAATCCCTGCTCCATCGATCTCTCTGCTCCTGCATCTTCTGCTGGGCCCTCCTCCTCCATTGGCTCCTCAAGGCCAGGAGCTGATCTGCACCAGAGAGAGAGAGAGAGACCAGAGGATCTGGGGATCGAGTCCTTCAGCCATCTTTTTCTCCTTTCCTGAAGGTTCAGCGAAGAAGGGATGGAAGTTATGGAAAGGCTCATCTACCTGTATCGCAAGTTCAGCCAGTTGAAAGTCAGCAACGAGGAATACGCCTGCATGAAGGCCATCAACTTCCTCAACCAAGGTGAGCGGCCGCGAGGATGAGCTTTCGCCCTGGCTCAGAAGGTCTGAGGGGGGACAACCTGGGACCCTCCAGAAGTTGCCAATCACATCTCCCAAACGGCCTCATTCCCGGTGGCCCAGTGACAAAGAAACCTGGGAGTTCTCGTTGGCAATTTCTAGAAGGTCTCCAAGTTTCCATCTTGGACCCCAAAGGCCTGACCAAAAAGGCCAGTGAAATGGGATCAAGGAAAAAGAGAAATAAAGCCAGGGACCCCCCAACTCAGAGGGGAAATCCAGCAGGTTCTGACAGGTTCTGGAGAACTGGTAGTGGAATTTTGAGCAGTTCGGAGAACCAGCAAATACCACCTCTGGCTGGCCCCAGAGTGGGGAGGGAATGGGGATTTTGCAATATCCTTCGCCCAGGAGTAGGGAGGGAATGGAGATTTTGCAATATCTTCTTGCAATATCCTTCCCCTGGAGTGGGGGGAGAATGGAGATTTTTGCAATACCCTTCCCCCAGGAGTGGGGAGGGAATGGAGTTTTTGCAATATCCTTCACCCAGGAGTAGGGAGGGAATGGAGATTTTGCAATATTCTTGCAATATCCTTCCCCTGGAGTGGGGAGGGAATGGAGATTTTGCAATACCCTTCCCCCAGGAGTGGGGGGAGAATGGAGATTTTTGCAATATCCTTCGCCCAGGAGTGGGGAGGGAATGGGGATTTTGCAATATCCTTTGCCCAGGAGTAGGGAGGGAATGGAGATTTTGCAATATTCTTGCAATATCCTTCCCCTGGAGTGGGGAGGGAATGGAGTTTTTGCAATATCCTTCCCCAGGAGTGGGGGGAGAATGGAGATTTTGCAGTATCCTTCCCCTGCCATGCCCACCAAGCCACAGAACCGGTAGTAAAAAAAATTTCAAACCCACCACTGCCCCCAACTTCATTGCAATCTGAGCCAAAGAAGGCATAATAATACAAGACGGGCGGTGTGGCAGGCCCAAATACGTCGTTGTGATGACCGCTTGGGTGCGCCCAATGCCCACCTTGAGATTTGGGAGGTGGGCGGGGCACACCTTCTCACCTCCCTGTTGGCGTCTTCCTTCTGAGAGACCTGCTTGCTTGGAGATGGACCCAGGAGCTCCTGAGAGTTTGGACGTTGACTGGTCACCTTCAAGAAAATTCTTCGGTTCGCCTTTCTCTCCTGACAGGCAAGACAGTTGTCCTTTGGCCAAATGACAGAGACGCGGGTTGCATTATAACAGAAGAACAGAGTCGGAAGGGACCTTGGAGGTCTTCTAGTCCAACCCCCTGTTCAGGCAGGAAACCCCATCCCAGCGTTGGCGAATCCTTTTCGGCACCGAGTAGGCATGCCGGAAACCGGAAGACCAGGTGGCCGTTGCACATGTGTGTGCCGGAAACCATCAGATCATCTTCCTGGCTCGCGCATGCGCACCAGGCAACTGCTCTTCCGGTTTCCGGCGCTCCCACACACGTGAAGATCAGCTGGCCGGAACCCAGAAGAGCAACAGGGCGACAGCTCACGTGCCCGGAGAGATGGCTCTGCGTGCCACTTCCGGCACGCGTGGCATAGGTTCGCCATTACGGCCCTATCCCATTTCAGACAAAGGATTGTCCAATCTCTTCTTAAAAACTTCCCGTGTTGGAGCATTCACAACGTCTCGATCCATAGATTGAAGCTCTTCCTCTTCCTCCTCCTCCTCCTCCTTTCTTCTTCCTCCTCTCGTCCTCCTCCTCTTTACCACTCCTCCTTCTCTTCTCCTCCTCCTTTCCTCTTCCTCGTCTCCTCTTTCTCCTCTCCTCCTCCCCCCTCCTCCTTTCTTCTCCTCCTCTCCTCCTGCTCCTTTCCTCCTCTTTTTCCACTCCTCCTCTTTTCCACTCCTTCTCTTCTCCTCCTCCTTTCCTCTTCCTCCCTCCCCCTCCTCCTCTCCTCCTCCTTTCTTCTTCCTCCTCTCGTCGTCCTCTTTCCACTCCTCCTTCTCTTCCTCCTCCTTTCCTCTTCCTCGTCTCCTCTTTCTCTCTCTTCTCCTCTCCTCCTCCTCCCCTCCTCCTTTTCTCCTCCTTTCTTCTTCCTCCTCTTCTTTCTCTTCCTCTTCTCCTCTCTCCTCTTCTCCTCTCTTTCTCCTCCCCTCGCCTTTTCCTCCTCCTCTCCTCCTCCTTTCTTCTTCCTCCTCTCCTCCTGCTCCTTTCCTCCTCTTTTTCCACTCCTTCTCTTCTCCTCCTCTTTCCTCCTCTCCTCTCCCCCTCCTCCTCTCCTCCTCTCCTCCTTTCTTCTTCCTCCTCTCCTCCTCCTTTCCCCTCTTTTACTGCTCCTCCTTCCTTCTCCTCCTCCTTTCCTCTCCTCCTCCTCCCCTCCTCCTTTCCTCCTCCTTTCTTCTTCCTCCTCTTCTTTCTCTTCCTCTCTCCTCCTCTCCTCTTTCTCCTCTCTTTCTCCTCCCCTCGCCTTTTCCTCCCCTCTCCTCCTCCTTTCTCTTCCTCCTCTCCTCCTGCTCCTTTCCTCCTCTTTTTCCACTCCTTCTCTTCTCCTCCTCTTTCCTCTTCCTCCTCTCCCCCTCCTCCTCCTCTCCTCCTCCTTTCTCTTCCTCCTCTCCTCCTCCTTTCCTCCTCTTTTACTGCTCCTCCTTCTCTTCTCCTCCTCTTCCTCCCTCCTCCTCCCCTCCTCCTTTCCTCCTCCTTTCTCTCTTCCTCCTCTCCTCCTGCTCCTTTCCTCCTCTTTTTTCACTCCTCCTCTTTTTCCACTCCTTCTCTTCTTCCCTTTCCTCTTCCTCCTCTCTCCTCCTCCCCTCCACCTTCTTCCTCCTCTCCTCCTCCTTTCTTCTCCTCCTCTCCCCTGCTCCTTTCCTCCTCTTTTTCCACTCCTCCTCTTCTTCTCCTTTACTTTTCCTCCTCTACCCCTCCTCCTCTCCTCCTCCTTTCCTCGTCCTCTTTTACCACTCCTCCTTCTCTTCTCCTCCTCCTTTCCTCTCCTCCTCCTCCCCTCCACCTTTCTTCCTCCTCCCTCCTCCTTTCTTCTTCCTCCTCTCCTCCTGCTCCTTTCCTCCTCTTTTTCCACTCCTCCTCTTCTCCTCCTTTACTCTTCCTCCTCTTTCTCCTTTTTTTCCTCCTCCTCCTCCTTTTCATGTGCTGTACTCCATCCAGATATTCGGGGCCTGACCAACGCCTCCCAGCTGGAGCAGCTGAACAAGCGATACTGGTACGTCTGCCAGGACTTCATGGAGTTCAAATATCCGCACCAGCCGAATCGGTTTCCAGATCTGATGATGTGTCTGCCAGAGATCCGGTACATCGCAGGTAAGCAACTCATCCAGATAAGGAGATCCTGCTTTGGCTGGAAGATGGGAGTCTCCCAAACAGTGTTTCTTAACCTTGGCACCTCTATGATGTGGGGAGTTCTACTCCCGTCTGGCTGGGGAATGCTGGGAGTTGAAGTCCATGCATCTTAAAGAGTTGACAGATATCGCTTCCAAACCTCAAACGTCTTCCCAAGCGCCCAGTTGCTCTTCTAGGATGAGCCTGTGGAACATCTCAAGAATGTTGGGCTTGTTTTCATCCAGAACCTCTGGAGACCAATAGCCCACCAAGCAAGGGCATCTTTCTGGCTCCTTCTACTTGCTCTCAAATTCTCCAGGCTAAGAGGAGGCAGGTTCTCTTCGAAGAGCCATGGTGGCGCAATGGTTAGAAAGCAGTACTAATTCTGCTAACTGATGGCTGCCAGCAGTTCGATCCTTAGTAGCTCAAGGTTGACTCAGCCTTCCGTCCTTCTGAGGTTGGTAAAGTGAGGACCCAGATTGTTGGAGGCAATACGCTGACTCTGTAAACTGCTTAGAGTGGACTGTAAAGCGGTATATATATATATATCCAAGTGCTATATCTATCTATCTATCTATCTATCTATCTATCTATCTATCTATCTACTATCTATCTATCTATCTATCTATCTATCTGTCTGTGTCTTTCTGTCTGTCCATTTCTCTCTGTCTACCAACCAACCAACCAACCATCTATATGTCTGTCTGTCTCTCTCTCTCGATCTATCTATCTTCCATCTATATCTATCTGTCTGTATCTTTCTGTCTGTCTCTCTCTCTCATCCATCCATCTACCTACCTACCAACCATCTATATGTCTGTCTGTCTGTTTGTCTGTCTGTCTGTCTCTCTCTCTCTCTTATTATCTATCTCTCTATCAGCTGTGGTGGTTAGCGTGCAGCATTGCAGGCTAACTCTGCTCACTGCCAGGAGTTCGATCCTGACCGGCTCAAGGTTGATTCCACCTGCCGTCCCTTCCACGGTCGGCAAAACGAGGACCCAAATTGTCGGGGGTCCAAAATGCTGACTTTGCAAACTGCTTAGCAGAGGGCCGTAAAGCATTGCGAAGCGATATATAAGTCTTAAGTGCTTATGGCTATTGGTCTCCCAGGACGACGCAGGCACAGTAGCCACGATTCATGGAGGGTGTTTTTTTTTTTTTTTTTTTTTTTTTGCCTTGTTAGGAAAAATGGTGAACGTCCCTCTGGAACAGCTCCCCCTCCTCTTTAAGGCCGTCCTGCACTCTTGTCGAGCCTCCACGAACAAGGAATGAAGCCGTCCTGGAGCTCCGTGACACCCCCAACACACACAAACACACTAACAAGCAAAGAACGGAGTTAGACACCCTGCGACGGGGGGGCAGCCATCTCAACAGCCTCCGGCGGGGCAGCCTTGCCACCGAGAATCCTTTGGGGACGAAAGCAACCTCATTCGTTCGCTCGTCCTGGCCATTTGTCTTTGCATGTGTGCGTGTGTCAGGAGGGGGTGTGTGAGATTTATTTTTTTCCTTTTTTTTTCGTTTTGCTTTCCTCGTTTCATTTTGACTCATTTTTTTTCCTCTAATATTTATTTCACGACAGAGTTGAATGTATGATTTTGTTTCAACCCCTGCACGGTTTTTTTCCCCCCACCCCCTTTCCCCCACCCGCCAGCCCCACTGCTTTTTGGGTGGGGCTCGGGGGGGGGTCCCCTCGCAGTTTACAAAATGTGAAGATGTTAGTTACAGTGTTTTTTTGGGGGGATGTTAGACTTTTTTTTTTTGTACTGGGGAGGGGTGGGGGTGGGTGGGGTTTGGGCTGATGACTAAGACTACCTCAAGGAGAAGGTGCTGCCTGCCAGTTCTGCAGCTCACACCTCAAGGGCACATCCCAGTGGGCCGTTGCCTGTCCCCCCCCCTCAAAACCTCACCCCAGCCGGAGCCCACTCCCCTAGAGAAGTGCCAAGCAATAGGGCAGGGAGGGAGGGAGCTTCCTCCCTCCCTTCCCCCCATCCAAAGCCTGCAGAGACCTCCCTTCACACACACACACACTGCTCATTCATTGCCACACAATCCCCCCACAATCTACAGACAAAACCATTTGGGACACTGCCACCATATCAGGGTGGTTGATCCTAGCATTCCAGGGTTATCCCAAAGGTATGCTTTTTTTCAAGCAGCAACTGGACTTTTCTTGTTTTCAATAAAGGAGAATATTGATAACTCAGGGTTGAAATGAGGGGGTCTGAGCTTGGTGGTTTTCTTGCAGACGTTTCATGACCCAACTAAGTATTGTCATCAGTGCTAGAAGGAGTGAGATTGGGAGGAGGAGGATTGTGGGATCCTTGGTGCTCCCTGAGCTTGCTTTGTTTTCTCGCAGACGTTTCATGACCCAACTAGGGAACTTCATCAGTGCTAGTACTGTAGTAGACTAGTAGATTAGCACTGATGTTACTTAGTTAAGGCAATGAAACCCCTGCAAGAAAGCAAGGAAGTTCAGAGAGCACCAAGGACCCCACAAGTCATCCTCCCCCTCTTCCTCCCCCGCCTCCTCCACCCAAATCCCCTCCCCTTCTAGAACTGATGATGGTACCTAGTTGGGTAATGAAACGTCCTTAAGAAAACAGGCAAGCTCAGAGAGCATCAAGGATCCCTTCATTTCTTGTTTCCCTTTGAAGGCGTTTCGCTTCTCATCCAAGAAGCAAGTGTTTTTCTGTCGAAGCACCTGGTCTACCCCCAATATGTGGGAGGGAGCATACTGCTTCCCTTTCACCTTTCAGCTCCAATCCAGGAGCCCTCAAGCAGTCGCATTCACGGCAAACCATTTTATACCAAATTTTTAAAATTGTAAAATTTTAAAAAGTTTTTCCAAAGCCCCTTTGTTGCATAGCCGGTGTTTTAGGCTAGGGGTCTTCTAATTATTAGTGATAATGATGTTCCAAACGTTGTTACAAGCCTGGGCTGTTGTCACTCACCCGGCTTCAAAGAGCTCCGTTTTTCTCCGCTTTCCTCCAGCACTTTTCTTGCCCGGTTGTCACAGCTTCGTGGCAGCCACCATGGCTGCCACACCCCACCACCGACTCACAGAGAGTTCCCTCTGACCTCCGAGGAATTTGCCTGTTCCTCTAGGTCGTCCGAGGCGCCCCTCTTCTTCCCCCATCCCTGCAAGACGGGTTCGGTCCGAAGACCCATCGGCGGCGGTTCGGCGGCCGGGGTATTCGCAGGGCTCATCAGAGCCCGCTATTTCCCCGAGTGTCTCGCCCACGACGCCAAACCGGAATTCCCCATTTTATATCAAATTTGTATTTGCTGATATATTTGCTTTATTTCACCATCCAGTCAGAGTTGAAGAAGCTTCATGGATGAAAAGTGAAACGTCTCCAAGGAAAAACCAAGAAAGTCCAGGTGCCTCTTGAAAAAAGCACCTTGACCTGGAGGACTGAGGATCTCCATAGACATTGAGCATTCCAGGGGTTCAGCTGAAGTTGGTGCTTCTTCAGTTGGGGGCGGTGGGGAGGGTCCCCTGAATTTTCTCAGCTATTTCAGATCCAGGCCCCACCGTCCACTGTCTTGGACCCGTACTCACACAATAGCACGGAGCTGAAAACGTGGCTTAGTCCACGCCATCTCTTCTCTCCCATATACGTGGCTCATTCAAGGCTTGGCCCATCTCTAGGCGAGCGGCTGGGCTGAGACCGATCCAGGAATTGCGGGTGAAGGGGTCTCCTTGCCCACCAAGGGGCCAGGAAATAATTTTGAAGGCTTCACCCCAAAATCTTGCATTCCCCCCCCCACCCCAAGCCTGGTAACAGGTTCCTTGCCTCTTGCATTTGACTGTGTGTGTGTGGGGGGGTGAACCTCCCCTGGGATGGTGCTTCCGGCTGGGCTTGGCTCACCTTCCCCCACTTGACGGTTGCTGACAGATGCCAGCAAGGCAGAACGGGTAAAAATCCATGGCTGGGATTGACGGGTCTTTCTGTGGTTCCGTGGGTCTCCCCAGCCACATTGTTGTTTTTTCTCAGGAAAATCCCCCTCCTTCCTTCGAAACCAGAAAATACCTCAACGGGCAGCGGTGCGAATCCGAACGGGTCGCCTGTCCTCGGTCACTTTCCTCGGGTGGCGAAAAAAAAAAGCTCGTTTTTGTTTCATCGCATTTTTATTTCCCTTCCTTTTTTTGGTTACGGTTTTCTTCCCCCCCCCCCCCCCTGCAAAGAGCTGTCCACACCATAGGACCAGGCGTTACCTTTTGGCTGGCTGGCGGGTCTTGTGCAGATCGCTCGTGAGCTGTCCCTGCGGCCGAAAATCCGAGCGTCAAAACCCGAGCCCGACCTCGGGTTCGAGGCGGGAATTTGAACCCACCTCCCCATGGCCAGAAATGGCTTTCCGGCCTCCACTTAAAGACCTCCACAGAAGGGGATATGCACGGTTGCAAACCCACCGTTGGCATCCTTAATGTTACGCCCTTCTCTTCCGCCCCACGAGCGGGAAATAGGGGGTCAAAAATAGCGGATGCCAGGAGCCAGAAAGTAACGTTTGGCCTTGCCGGTAACGCCGCTGTCATCCCAGCCTGCGGAAGGGCTCGGACGAGAGCTGTCCAAACAGGGTAAAACTGAATGTAAGCTGTTGAGGAACTCAGGTATTAGGTGAAGAAAAGTAGGAACGTAGTTTAGATAACGTAGAACGATTTTAGGTCGGTTTCTCCCACCCACCCCCAACCCCGGTAGATGGATTTAGTTTGAAGGACGCCCTTCTTCCTTTGCAATTCCCTTTCTCTTCCTTTTCTCGCGAAAGGGGCTGCATGTGTAACAACTTTTTTTTGGGGGGGGCTTGCTTGGCAGGAGGAGAGGATTCTGGGAGTTGAAGTCCACCCGTCTGCAAATGGTGGTGGAGAATGGTGACTTCAGGCCCTATTCTCAGCCCTAAAGAATGTAAGCAAATAACAGCGAAGACCTCTCGGCTTCTTGCCCCTCTTGATTCCACAAGCAAAGAAATCCCCCTGCCCCCCT